TTATGAACAAGATTTAAGAGTAACTACTTATTGGCCTGGTATTGGAACGACGCTCGAGAATATTCCTAACAGTGTTCTCTATTTACTGAATAAAAACGGGATTGGACCATGCTGTCACAATAAAATGAACCAATCAACCAACATATGTGGTACATGATTTGAAGACGTAACCCTTCATACAGTTAACTCAATGGAACCCTCGGCATACTACTGAGAGGTCGGTGTCATACAAAAATTATCGATGGTACCGAACACCACGTACAGCGAATGAGTCCACCTTCCAATGGTATGAAAACTCGCTGGACAAGCATGGTAACTTTTTCGGATCCTGGCAGTTGACGGTACCTGATGTTTCGGTCGGTAACGCCGAGGTCACACCAAATACTGTGAAGCAGCGTGTAATGTGATGCGGATAGCGGTATCACATGGTGGGGATGCGTTTGAAAGAGATAACAAAATGGATTTACATGAAGGAGTTATTGCTACTGAATCACAGTATTCGAAACAGTTCAAAATTGTTTCAGACAAATAGATCAGACAAACAGAAATCGAAGTATATATTTAGGAAACACAATTATTTATCGAAAACTATTTCATTACGATCAATTTTACTCTCAAGCGCAATTCACAAATCAGGGATGTTGCATGGTCAAAATCCGGAATCGATGACTCACCTTTGATGTTTGCCGGGAGTAATTGATCTAACATTGACCCCGAACGACAGGCTGTGATGTAGATAAGCATCTGTTTGTACATCTTTGCCTGATTTAACGCGAGGAGCGTTTGCACGAACGCCGTTGCTTGTAGTTTCTAACAGTACCGTTTTGAGAAAAAAGAAACAGATCAACTGTTGGAACAACTTTGACCAGCAACCTAAAGCACGGTTGCCAGTTCATTTGTATTTCTAAACAGGAACGCATTTATGATTAGTCTCTCCGGCAAGTGAACACCACAACTGCGATCAGAGTCACTTACCTGTTTGTTTGGGAAACAAAACTTTCCAACTCCGCCATGACCGGCCATGAAGATGAAGACATTATCATTGTGTCCCCTGAAAACCAGAGTCTTTATAAATCATCAAATTTCTCACATCAGCTTTGAAATATTATTACAATCAGTATAATATTCATTTCATATAGCTCAGGCAAAATCTGAAATCCCCTATTTTGTTTGTCTGCAATCAACACGTAGCACAGTGCACTGGAATATACATGCGCCGAAGGGAAGCTGATTGGAGAAGCCTGTCAGAGTAAGCCGCTGATATACTCAAAAATCAACCTTCGTTGTTTGCCTCTTCAAAACTTTTGCGGTGTCTATCCTTGCAGTTTTAACGGAACAATCCATTTTCTCGGAGTAGATTATTCATCGGTAGCCATGGGACACGGTGTGGTGTTGGAACACGTGGGTCAGAGTGCACTGGAGCTCGTCTACTGGAAATGGAAAATTTTCACGAACCGAAATACAAAAGAAATCACTCTGAAAAACATACTTTATTTAATCGGTAATGTTTCGATATAACCAGTAGTCACAAACATCTATCACATGTGATATATCAAAAGAACCATGAATCATTTTGTATCTTACGACTGGAGCACTTTCTTTCCGGCCGCTTTCATTGTCGCGTCACCTTTCAACACTTTGAGGAAATTGTCCACAGTGACATCCTGTGAGAGGAATGAACGGGTTCGAGTTTATTTGGTGGGTGTGTTGATGGATGCAGGGTGGACACGGGTGGAGAGAATGTGTTCAGTCTTATTGAATCTCCGTACATGATACAAGCAATAACCACATTAAGACTGATCAAATATTTTCGAGTCATTACTGACTTTATGTACCCGGATGGGCGATTCATCGAAATTTCATATCATGCTTGTGGATACCAGTTAATAAAATCATACAAAATATAATCGTAATTACTAGACATCGGCCTTGTTAATGAAGTAATTAATTACGCGCTTCTGGGGTAAACTTCCCCGTTTTAATGCGTCCATCAGCAACATATGACAACGGAGAACTACATTCCGACTAGGTAAGTGGAAATTAAAGTTTGAACCTTGAAAATGTGAACAAAGTAGTTACAGCTGTTTCGAGTTCTTCGTGTAATGGCTGATGATAATGAATGTGTTGTAGATCTCGCCAGCGAATATAAGTTCTGTTTACAACGTATCGTGGAAACCCATTGTAGAACAGATCTATCAACGGGGCAGTACCCAGATATTCACGAAACTAACAGTCGAATTGTGAGGACTGGAAAGTGTTCTTACTCGGAGTGAAAAGTAGGAAAGCTTTGCAAAATATGTCCTGAACGTATGTGATGTCTAACATGATCACTGAGGAAGACACGAAACACTCCTGGACAATGGTCACAAAACGATCACATAGCCAAGAGCGCGTGTGTAGCAACGGCCGAGGACGTATACCGCTTCTATGAAATGGACTTACCGCACCCTTATAATCCACAGTGATACCAGCATAAATATCGGTGTGTGCGTAGTCCTGGAACAAATTTCCCGGGAACGGATTGCTGTGATTCGAGACGGGGGATAGGATGCAAAATTGCACGTTCAGTTGTGATTCACATATGTGTTTTGTAAACCAGAAAATATGTGAAATCATTTATAGACAGGAACGTTGTTGTTGTTGTTGTTGATAACGGTACAGTTATATAAACAAGGGCAGAAACATCCGGGGTTAGGTTTCACGAGTTTGTCTATTCAGATGAAATTGACCTCTGAACCGAGAATTAGTCTCACAATCGGTACAGTGCATCATCCAGAGCAGCCTTATCGCTTAGATCGTGCAAAATAAGATCGAATTATCTGTTGTTTGATAAGGACCATTCGCTTGATTCCGTGCAGGTTTTCTACACGATAGAACTGGACTTACTTGTGATCCCAGGCCACATCATCGTACATCATGGTGATTATGTTTTCCGGGAGAATGTTGTTTGCACGCATCAGCCGGTAAGCGTGAGCGACGTCCGACTGAACGGGAATAGAACAGATTGAAAGAAAGAAAGGTTGACCAGTGGGGAGGGCATCGGTTCCAAAATGGAACGAAAGCCTCGGGACAAGTGAAACTAGTCGGATAACGGGTATGAGACTGTGAACAAGTAATGAGGATGTATGGTGAACTAGGGGCAGTAATCTTTGGCTTCCTAACATGTACTGGATAACAGTCAGTTAATTCACCGAGCTTGCTGCTCATCTCGCCTAGATCTTTGCTACATAATGCTATCGAATAATCATAGTTTGAGGGACCTTTTGAAGGAACACATTTTCACTCCAAATTATGTAGGTATACAATATGGAATTCAAACGGTATAATGGACACGTCTGGGCCAAATTCCGAGAAGGATCAGATGAAATCAACTTGATTAAAAGCACTTGCACAAAATAGTCACAATGGGGACCAAAATGACTTCCTTCAATCCTGACCGTGTACTCACCTGATGCCGATAATTCCCCCAACCGTTCGATCCAGCCAAAAGCACAGCCCAGTGTTTCGATTGATTCGCGAATATCTGACCGACATACACGGTCAGAATAGTGAGAAGGAACAAGCTGAGACGCATTTTAGCTGGGCTTCCAATTGTCTTCTTTGTGTTGAGTTGATCGCCACTGTGTCGTCTGTCATATTTATAGTGCTCGCCGAATGCTTCCGAGTGGTGTGGGGACAGAAGGGGGAATATGCCAGAGTAGTACAAAGGTCATATGAATTGACCTGTGTGTTTGTGTTTTTGTCTTGCACAATTGAGGACCAAAGGTTGGTACATATTGTTTGTTGATTCCATCGAGGTGGCCTGTCAAAATTCAAGTATGAAGACGTATGTTTGGGTTTTACAGGTAATTCTAGTGACCGGCCTTCCCATGCACAGTCTGTTATTCAAGAAAATACAGAATTACATACTTTGTCATGCCATTAAGTGTATGTGGCAAAATACCTGACTGCTTTGTCGACAATAGAACGTCAAAAACGCCACAAAATTAATTCGATTTGAGAAGCAGAGATGAACAGCTTCGAAGCCCCACTCGAGCCGTTCAGGGTTACCATGGATATGTCGAAGGAACCCTTCTAGATTTTATTCCAGTATTCCTTCCTGAACTACTCAGAATACCATGTGCTCAATCTCCGTCATCTATAACGCAGCAGTACGGAAACTGATGTGAATAGAAACGATGTTTGTTTTAATTTACACAACCAAGGGATCAGCATAAACTGAGATAGCTTTTCTGCATATTCGTTCCCGGTCCTTCAGTGAGATATTTGGTGTCTCTTTATTCTGACTTAACACATAACGAAAGGGGAATCAAGGACTGGCGTTTGATTTACGATAGTTCAATTATATCTTAACCAGATTGGATGTTTTGGTACCCATTGCAGTTACCGAGAGGTACCGCTCGTGTTTACCCCCATGATATCGGAATAGTGTCCTCATCTATGTAAGGTAAATAATCGCTCCAACCTATAGACTGTGATTACGGGTCACAATTCCAGAAAGAAGTGAACTCTGCTCGGATTGACAACGGTACTATCTGCTTTGCCTGCTGGGACGCGCATCAATATAATCGCTTTGACCCATTTACATTTTGGTTCAGTGATTCAATACACGGAATCAAATTCCATTATCCAAAGCTCGCTACCACTAGCAGCAATTTGGGCGTTTTCAGTGGATATACTCATAAACGGAACGCGTCAGCAAGATAACTTCAGAGAAATATGAAAATAGACCGTTATAGATATCAATAACCATGATACAGTTTCAGTTTCAGTTTGTACAACCATTAACCACGCATATTCGTGCGCCGGTTTTGGTTGCCGTCTTTTGGCTGCCCATTTGGATGAACAATACGAGAAGAAAGGAAAGTTAAAAGTGGAATTGAACAGAAAATGGAAAATTTCAATGGTCTAAGGTTGCAAAGAAATTGAGGAGATGCACGAACGTCACTGTTTACGACACCCAGCCATATCACTCAGTGTCTCTAACCATCGGTTACGATCATCCCGAGGTCCCCAGCCAGGGAGCTTAACAGGACCTATGTGACCCAGTCTCCCGGTTAGGGTTTTCATACCCTCGTGCCAGATCTTAACTTGACCACCCTTCACTTTTTTCTACTCGATGTCTGCTTCGGCGAAGATCGCTCGCCGTGGTAACCTATCTGGTAACATGCCTAACACATGTCACACCCAACGTAATGTATGGAAGTCGACCATTTGCTCCAGTGGGCGACCGTGGATACCCAAAACTCTGCGCCTCATCTCAGCATTGCTCATCCGGCTACCCCACCAGATTCTTGCAATGCTGCGTAGACAGTCTGTCTTTATCCTGTTTTCTTAATGGCCCAGTTTCTGCACCGTATAGCCGGACTGGCCGAACTGTCGCGGCACACACTCGACTCTTCACAGACAGCCGGGTGTCGCGACGGCGCCATACATGTCTCAAGTTGGCAAATGCCAACCGGCATGACACAGTTACTCTCATTACAATTGATTTTCTAAATTTGATGTTCAACAGTGGGAGTAATTTGTTTTCCTTCCAGAAACAACCACCATTAGGAAACTCGGTCTAATGCGGTCTGAATATCCCCGGGTACAAATCAGTGGATAGGAAAACGGCTAACTGCACTTGGTTTGAAGCAATTTACTAGATAAACCATCATCATTATCATCGTACAGAATACTAATACAATACAATTACAAGATAAAGCCGATCAACCCAAATCTGTACTTCTGGGTAAGTTCGTAGTACGATGATAAGCAACAGCAAATCATTCCTGTCCTGAACATCTGGACTTTTCCAACCAAGTAATAACCTCGAAGGTTGGTGCATAAATGAGCGAGGTGCGATACCCGCAAACAGAGAACAAAGATGGGTTTTGCAATATACGAATTATATATTCCAAATAAGAACCGATCTTATCAACTGCTCGGTGGTGCAGCTGGAAGTATGCTCGAAATTTACTTGATAAGACCCAACGAATTCGAAACAGCTTTTCAGATCATGCTCGACACACGACGAAATCCATCATATAATTCAATCAAAACATTGACTACTTCTCTTCAGTAAGAAATATCGTTCCTTTAAACACAGTTTTAGTACTGGAAACTTGATTTCCTGATTTCATAACCGTATTGTTGGCTTCCGTGGAAAACAACTCAACTAACTTGTCACATTTTTGGACAATCTTGTTTAATGTAAAGGTGTGTCTCCGGAGATATAATTATCTACTGTGTTATCAAAGCATATTTACATATGTTACCAGTTTAAGTTAAAAAATAGTATGGACAACCGTCAACCGTTGAAAAATAATCTTAATGAGGTCTTGCCTGCTTCAAAAGGCGTGTAAAGATTCACACATGTTATTTACGCGTGCAGCCACATCTATCTGCTCTATTTGGTAATCCAGAAAGCAGGATGTTTATGGAGTAGTACATCCGTAGGCATCATTTCTCATTGGTTCTGTTTATTTAAAAACCGTTCCGCCTTTTGAACAATTTTGAGTAAGCTTGTGTTGTGATGATGATGTAGTCGCTGAAAGTTTGCACGCGGCAAAAGCAAAGAGCTTTTTCTGTAAATCTTCAGAAAGCCCCGAAAACCAGTCTCACAAATACACACATTACAAACGCACACAAATATGACTCTAGAATGCTATATCACAGTGTCGATTCAGTAAACCGTTCGCCATTACCGGAGATCACCAATCAGACAAAGCGTCGAACAGCCTTTTCTGATTTACTTGTTTGATGGATGAATCACTGAGGCCAGCTGAAATTGAGCGAAGAAAGCGGGAGAGAGTGTAAACTATTCAAGGTCATTATGTATACGTCATTGAGACCTCCAGAAATGGTTGAGAAAAAACAGCTTTTAGACCCCTAAATGGAAATGTGCATCAAAGATGAATGCATATTGTGATGGAAGTTGATACAAAGAGAGCCCATATAGCGAACGGATCAAGAATATGGCCCATCCAACTAGATGCGCAGATGTAGAGGCTGGAAGTACTTAGCGAGACAACGTCGACTACCACTCGAAACGAACTAATAGACGATTACAGCCCGACGGACAATCCGCATCTAGCCAGACAGATATCCACCCACTACCACAACATCAGAGCTGTCGATCATTGTATCTCGCAATACGATCGGGTCAAACCAGTCGGACCGGCATGCGGAGGAAGAGGCAACGTACGTGCCAAGTGCGGACCAAAACCAACAGGATGAAGTACGAATCATCCTGCCGTGCAGTTAAGAATTGATTGTATATAATTGAACGCATAAACCAGTTTTTTTAATTGAATCAATAAATGTTCTGGCAACCAACTCGTCTTCTCGTTATAATATGATATCAGTCCTATATTTGTCGAATGCTCAGAAAACCCAAAAATGAATGCGCTTACGCCAGACCACCTTTCCTTACGTGGCATTGACAATGACTTCGGGGACAAGGTTAGGAAGTGTAACGAGCGCCGATCATTCTCATCGGATGTGGTGACGGCAATCACAACGTTCAATTCTTATCCATCTTGTTCCTTGTGTGGCCCTATCGAAGGCTTGCTGATCTGCCTATTCATCGACCCAAATTCAAGCGGACTGTATGTCAAATAATATTGTCAGTATGGAAAGAATTGTCATACGTTTGTCTCCTTAGGATCCATAGACAATGTGGTTTGCTTGTGTTCCAGCTGCGAGATCTCGAGCTTGATCCACGATTGGATGGATGGATTCACGCACTGCTGATGAGACCCAACCCGAAAGTTGCACAATTTTAACGTTCACTCGAAATGAAGCTCGACTCAACTCACCTCGAGCTTAACTGGCACTAGTCGAAACAGAATATCGTGAACCAGGTTGATAATCCCAAATCATTTTTATTCCTATTAAGGGCAATGTGCTACGTCGTACGATTAGTCCAGTTTGACGCGTTGCTCAATCGACCATCGTATGTCTGTCTGTGTACGATTTAGTT